GAGAAAGGCTGTATCCACCTGAGTACTAAGTTTAATGTGACATGCTCTCTTCTATGGAATGAATACCCGACGTATGATTAAGTTGTCACAGTGAAATTGACAGTGTAAATTTCGAATTATGTTTCCAGTGCATGACTCTGTCACGTCATGACAAAGAATATTTGGAATTCAACCGGTTTCAATATATATGTTCTTCAATGTTGAATCTTTGCTACCTATGTTGTGAAAGACGAATAGGTTTTTGAACACAAACAATAAAAGAATGGACCTTAAACTAAGTCCTTGATGTGCGTGTAGATTTGATTATGATTTTAACTAATTCCAATACAATTTATTGTTCTTTATCGTCGCCTACATTTTGTACTATTCTGTGATATGTAACTAACGAGATAATTTTAATTGACGAGTTTGATTGTTCCAGTTACAGAAGAGTGTGTCATCTCAATGAAGTTCTTACTCTTGAAAGAATTATAATTCATGTAACTTGTCATTCAGTTTATGTAAATGTTCATCACTCACATTTACAATAGCTCTTGCTTCCAGCTAAGTTTGTTGTAGACTAGTAGTTTTTATTCAATTGAGTTATAAAATCAACCATTCTTCTTTAGGCACACCAACAAGGACAGTTTTTATAACTTTCGCTTCACTACTGTTTAGATGGGATAAGTTTAATTAACGATCCTTATTCGTCTTGGGGTGTACCATGCACGCAAATATACTACTAATACAGGCGAAGACATTGGAGCATATTTGCGTGCATGGCAGACCACAACTGATTGTCATCATGTGATACACAGAGAGTCATGCACTGAAAACATAATTCGAAATTTACACTGTCAATTTCACTGTGACAACTTAATCATACGTCGGGTATTCATTCCATAGAAGAGAGCATGTCACATTAAACTTAGTACTCAGGTGGATACAGCCTTTCTCCAACCTCTCCTCTATTTTCTCTCTCTCTCTCTCACTCTCGCTCTCTCTTTTCTTTCGAGCATTATTTCCGTAGAGTATTCATACACACACATTTGAGTATTAAACAATTAGAAATTATTTATCACACAATGTGGATGCTCAGTTGTAAAGTAAGGAAATTATATTCTATTATCTATCGTTGGAACACGCATCTAAAGCCATTGACATTTGTTATTCATAAGAATAAAACAAAGAAACCATTACACGAAAGTTATTTTCGTATTTTCTCTACGTAAAATGAATTTCGATAAGCAAGCATCCCTAGAAAAGAGCTTCTGAGATCCAATCACACAACACTTTCCTGAGCAGACATGATTAGCTGTTCAGACTATTTTAATACTGTTCCAATTAAAACAGTGACTGAAAACAAAGCAGAGAAAAATATGAGTTTCGTAGAAAAAAATCATCAAGAGATCAACAGAAAAAAGAATTCCCAATCAAGAGAAAAAGAGCAATCATGAGTTTTTTTCTCTTAAAGATGTTCACTATAATACAATTAACTGTAGTAGGTAAGAATGAAAAGAAATCTGGTTAAAATAAGCTGATTTCTCCTCTTCTTTTATTTCCATTGTGTCATCTATTATAAATATTAACCACATTAGTGCTCTCTATCGAAAATGAATTGTTCTCCGTTTTTCTCTTGAAAATGAGAGAGGGAGCATGTCTGTTTTATAAATTTCTAATCACAGAGACAAACTTCGATCAGTTCGAGCATAACGTTGATTATGATAAGAAATCAATGTTCTAATATTTTATTGCGCAACGTTTTAGATATTGATTATTCATCACAATAACTCAGGCCTCTTTCATTTACGGCCAATTTGAAAAATCTTAAAAGGAAATCGGACAAGGTAAGTTTGACAACAAGAAGAACATGTAGTTGTAACAAAAGTTATGTATCTTCCAGTAGACGATTCCTAACAAGATGACAAATGCATACATACATGTCTATAATAGTGAATATTCCTAATTGCTCGAACATATATATTCACGATACATTGATCAATAGAGGTGTGGTGGTATCGAAATGATGACGACTCAGCACTCATCATCTTACTGGAGCTACCTCAGTTAGCTTTCAATTACTCATTCGATACTAATCTATTGCACGCTGCGACGTTGTTTATTACTAAATTGCATATAGTAAAGCTTTTAGTATCACAGAAATCTTAAACTATATTGCTCGTTTCACAAGTGCTTTATTTTCTTCATCTATCTTCTTTTATTTTAGATATACACAGGTTATTTAAAAATATAAAGAACTACGCTTCCACCGTATACGATGTTTCCAATCCAAGGAATTTGTATAGCTCTTCTTGTTTTAAGTGAGTGTTGCTATTTTTAGCTAAAGTTTCGTGAGACGGCGGAATCGTTTACGTAGATAATAGAAGAAGCGGGAATAAACAACTTCGTTGCTCAAGACTTAGATCAATAGGATGAACTTCGTCGTCAACACTCCCAAACATTAATTACAAAACTTAAACGTGCTATATTTTATGTGCAGGAACTTCGAGAAATGTTTATTACTCCAGTGAAAAAGTTGTCTTTCAGCAATGTCACTCTCTTATAATATTTCGCCTTTAAGTTTATCTAAATAAAAATTCTGTTTGTTCAGGTACATTCATCATTTCCACATCAGCTGCAGCCATACATCCCAACGAAGATCATTTAAATGATGGTATACAAGACGACAGATACCGCCCGTTTGACTTACTTCATTTTGATGATAAACTAGACGAAGGGCCGATGGATAATAGTTATAATTCATGGAAAAGAACATTACCAGAAGGAATCATGTTAGGGAAACGTGCGCGCTTGCCGAGCGAAGCAATTTTACTTGGGAAACGAAGAGTGCCACTTGAGGCTGTGCTATTAGGTCGTCGAGATCTTCCGAATGAAGGAATCTTATTAGGTCGTTGAGACGATGAATATTCAAATACCAACTGCATTTTGAAAATGTTGTTATTTTTCATCGCATACAATTCGTTTTTATTTTCTGTTGTGGAAGCTCTTTTTCTCACTTTCTAACACGATGTTCAATAAAAAGGAAAAG